TAAAGAATTTTATTAAAATTTGAAATCAGAAACCAATAAGTTGTGTTAAATAATATGTTACCATATTAAAATTATCATATTCTTCTTTCTAGGTAATACCAGCAGTTCATTATGCCATTGCAGAGGGTTGGTTTAAAGCAATTAGTCAAGCATCTCTTGGATGGTTAATATTAATGGGATGTTTATATATCTTAGGTGCAATGTTTTATGCATTACGAGTACCTGAACGATTTTTCCCAGGCAAGTTCGATATTTGGGTAAATATTTATTTTTCTGCTTTTCAACTAATTGAGATTTTATCAATTTTTGTAATTCACTGAATAATTCATGTTATTCAGTTTCAGAGTCATCAAATCTTCCATGTATTAGTAATTGCAGCAGCTTTTGTTCATTACCATGGAATAACAGAAATGGCAATGTATAGAATGACAATAGGAGATTGTACAAATCCGTCACAGGTGATAGCTTTTTAATTATGCAATGGACATACAAGCTGTTTCTTTTATCCTACACATTCTAATATTTTCGTTATTTTTTCGGGTACAAAAAATGTGTCAGAATAAATTTATTTGATTTAAAGTTAAGAATATTATGAACCATGTTTCTTTTTTTCAAGAACATTTTTTCCGAGTTTTGAAGGAAATCTGGTAATTTTACTGGCCAAAAAATTCTTGATCCTCAACCTATTCAACAATCAGGCAAGATTAAAATAAATTTAGAGCATTCTATATGTTTCTCACATAATGGGCTGAACACTCATCATCTCGAAGTCACATACTTCTTCGGTAATGTAAGAATATACCATGAAGAAGTAATTGCAATTAATTTTTTACGAATTCAAGATATTTTATATTTAATGTTCCTTTGATGGAATATGAACCAATAATTTGATTTTTCATATCGCACCAAACATTGACATTACATGGACGTTAATGGTATATTTATTTATCTGTATTGGACACATAGATTATTTTGCTTGAGGAGTTAATTTAACTGAAAGAGACGATGTGCGTAAGGGAGAGAATATATTACTTACTTATCTATGATTTGTAAATGTTGTCCATTACCGAGGAGAAATATGGTTTCAAAATGATGGGTGTCCAGCTCATATGCAAAAAGCTATAGTCACTGAATTTTTTATGGCTTTAACTTAACGTGATTTTGTTATTTAAAAGTCATAGTGCTACAGTACGTTGAATTCCTCTTGATGTGTATTATACTAATGTATCATACAAAATAGTGATTCACAACTCTGAAAAAATAATCTTGAAAGAAAAAAAAAAACATGAATCATCATATTCTTAACTTTGTACCAAATAAATTTGTCGTGACACATTTTTCCATACCAACAACAGTAACGAAGATATGAGAATGTATAGGATAAAAAAAAACACCTCGTATAATATCGTGTTGTTGGATTTAACCTTTATCGAAATTTAAAAGGATTCCTAAATCTTTGTGTGTCAGTAGATCTGTACTACAAAAGAACTGCTGGAAACAATATCATAAAAATGAACAGCACAAGAATTCCGTAGTTCATTGTAATTAAAGAATTTAAAAAAAAATTTACAAGTACTTAATAAAACTTCACAATAAAGTACAATATGTGATATTGAAAATTACTAATGATAAATTTACAAGATTTAATTAAATAAAACTTTTTACACTTTCGTAAATCTGAATTTATGGAAAATATAGTTAACTTTGTATTGAATATTAAGCTCAACGTTTAAAACGTTTATCATATTTACCAAAAATTTCAGCAGTACAAAGTAACAAATAATATAACTATTTACACTTGTTGTTTCTTCCTTTATGCAAATAATTTATTTAACTAATGTAATTTGTTTATGTAGTAACTTTATTATATGCAAAATGGATATAATATTATAAATATCATTTCATTGACTGATAATGACTGATCTCTTGTTTCGTGCAGTTCTCTTACTTGTTGAAAACAAGTTAATAAAAAAATTGTAAAATACGAAACAGAGTACAGATGTATGGCAACGAACAAAATTTAATATAATTAAGATTTAGGAACTAATTACAAATACAAATGATTTCATAGTATAAGCACTATAAAAGTTGTAATATATTTTGAACACTGTTAAAGCAATGAAAACTATTTATTGTAATGATTGTGTGTGAAAAATTCAACTCTTTTTGGATCATTGGATTGGACACGGAAAGTAAAACACTGATTTTTTTTCAGTGTCTATGTCTTCAAAATTTATTATGTACCACAATTTGCGTTTTGACTTCCTATTTCCTGTATTGATTGTAATTTCTATTTTCCAATATTGGTAAAATAATTTCTAATATCACTTTTCCTTGTTAAATATTTACAATTTTTTTCCCATGTAAATCTATCTTTGTTGTAAAATACACATTTCATTACAGCTTTGTTGTTTTTTAGTATAAAAAACGTTGAATAATTTTGTTATTATTATAAGGTCTAATACTTATATAAAGAGATATTGTTGAACTTTTTACATAATTCGTAATATTGGTAATTAATAAAGAAAGAAATTATGAATTTCATATGTAAAAACACAATTATTCTACTTTATGTAATTTCTTAAAAATATATTTTTCTAAACAAATATTGCAATATCATTTGTGGACTATTTGAATGTATTAGAAACATCTTTATCCACTGTAATAAGTGACAATTGAAATACTTAGATATAAAGATCTGAATTAAAATCATTTAATTTTAATTAAACAAGAATGAAAATCATTTTATGAATTATATGTAGCTGAATTTATGTTTCAACGGTATATATAATTTAACTTTATTACCAAAATAAATATCTTTATTAAATAATACAAAAAATTCATTTCTTTTATTTATGTCTAATAAATTTTGTGTTAATCGCAATTACAAGTAAATAAATTGAAAAATAATTTTGATGATTTTCAGTATATTTTATGTAAAATAATGTTAATATTAAGTATTCATAAATTTGCAAAAGGTTATTAAATATTTTATAATAAAAATAATTATATATCTAATGTATAAGAAAAGGCAAATATTACATTTCTTAAAAATTTATATTTTTATATGTATAGCTATCAATTTATTTTTAATTAAAAAATTTTAAATAAAGCACAATTAAAGCATGAAGCAAAAATTGCTATTACTGTTTGTGCTGTATATGTGCATATGCGCATGCGCATGCACGTATATTTGTATTTTATATTGCAGCACTGATAATTTTAACAAATAATTCAAAATTTGTGTATCTTTAAAAATAAATTAAAATCCAATTTAATTAAATGATTATAATTATTTAATATTTTCATATATATTATATTAATTACGGAAGATATTAAAATCGATATAAAAATATATCTCGATAAGACTTCGATAAATAATACATTTCAATTAGGAACAGTTCGATAGTTGTCATATGTACGTCATATATAGTATACCTATGCGAGAAAGCTGCATTGCGATATCAATATGCATTGTTAAAACTAAAGGAAAAAACATAATCAAATTTCTGTTTGTGTAAAGGATGAAATCATGTTCCAAATAGAGCAATGGTTTATTTGTAGACTCCATGGTGAATTTGCAGACTCAAAAGAAAAATATTTATTTCAACAATTCAGTCGTGCGAAAAATGGAAGCACATAATTGTACTTTAAAGATAATTTAATATTTACGTCAAGTGATCGACAAATTTTTAATAAAAAAAAAAAAGAAAGAAAAAAAAGAACGTTTCAAGAAGAAGCGCACAAAAATTAAGTTGTAACATTCTCGATGGAGCGAAATTGTTATCATACTGTATTATCAGTAGTATAATACAAAAATTATCAAAATGCATAATAATCGATTTGTTTACAAACTTAAGTTGATAACTGTGATTTTCATTACAAATTATTTATATTTTATGATTATAAATATGTGATAAAGTGATACACTTACTTATTATGTCTATTCAAAGCACATAGAATCAAATATAGTGTCTGATATAATGATAAATTAAAATATTAATATTAATAATGTATTAATAGCAACATATTTACTGTTATGCTTTTTGCACATTATGTTTACTGTTTTTGGTGTAACAAAGTAAACAAGTGACGAGAGAATATTAATACAAATTGTATACTTTGGAAAATTAAAATTTTTGTAGCATATATAATGTAGATATTGATGAGTTTTTTTTCGATATATTTAAAATTCCATTTTTGATAAAAGATTAAATGCAGGTTTCTAATTAACAATAATGAATGAAATGAACACAACAAATGTTACAAATTCTGTAACATCTGAAATACTATTTGACAACGTTCAAAATTATACCTCCACTATGGCAAGTAACACATCTAATGGAATATCTGAAGTATATATGAATTCTACAGAAGAAAACGGAAGTATACAACAGTTATGGAATGTTACTAAGGCTGTCACATCATTACCTAATAGTACATTAGTTTCCTTTGAAACTTCAAGTACCAATATATATATGTCTACAACAACAGAAATTTTTGATGAATTTGGCCCACCAGATGGAATAGAATACATTTTTGTACCGCTTGGTGTAGTGGTCTTTGTTATTGTATTATCAGCTGTGGTATGGGTAGCGATATCACTTTTATATTTAAATCATAATCTTCTTTTAACTTTCATTTGCAGATTTGTAATACTTGGATAAATGTTTCTACATTAGGTATTATTACCTTTTTGTAGTATAATTTAAGTTTATTGGTCAGTTAATATTGTAATATTATATTTAAAATTTGATTAGTTTGTAGCTGCTTTTACTAAGAGTAAATTCTTTTACTGTTAAGAATTTAATAATTTTATAATATCTAACTCAAATATTTTAACAATATATTACATTTTTAAAGGTAATAATCATCTCAAGGAAAAGAAAGTTAGAACGTTTAAGACATAGACTCATGCCAATGTATAATTTTGATCCTGGTGAAGAAGAGGAAGATGACTGGGAAACTGAATTATTAGAAGAATGTTACAATAACCATCAGAGACGCGTATGTATACAAATTTTTATGCTCAAATTGATAAATGTGTTGTTAGTGTAGCATACTTTATCTTACAGCAAGGATATCAATCTATGGATACAGAAGAAAATGCTGAACTATTTGGAAATCATTGACAAAATATTTACAATAATCTTTCAAAAACTTTGTATTACTTACAACTGTTATAGATTAAAAATTACAGTATTCAGTAGATTTACATATTTACTTAATGTTCAAATAGTTTGTATATATCTTTGAATTCAAAGGATAAAATTCAAATTCATAAGTTTTATATATGGGATGATATTTCAGAATATATTAGGTATTAAAGTTTAATCTATCATAAAAATTATATGATAATATAGTAAAATTGAATTCTTTGTTTCAATGTGACAATATCCATAAAATGGATTTATGCTGAATTTAATAATTTCATAATAGAAAAGCAGAGACCAGAATGACTGAGACTTCATTTTATTATTAAAATTCGCTGTATACTGTTTATAACAGTTTTTCATAAATGTACAATTTTTGCTATGTGCTTGAAGTTCAATTATATATATATATATATATTTTTTCATATCCTTTCCTTTGAAAATACATCAGTGAAATGAAATGTCAATTGTTCAATCAAAACTTTAATTTTTATAGTACAAAATATTTCGATTTTATTCTGTTTCTATTTAATACTAGAAAAATTTTATTTAGCGTGTGAAAATTAAGTGTCTAGCAAAAAAGTAATAGATATACTTTTAAATATTAGTAAAAATTTGGGATTTTCCATATAGTTATTGTAGATAGATATTATTCAATTTCGTTTCTCTAGCAACTTACTAAGTAGTATTAAAAAATTAAATATAAATAGTATTAAATATAATTTTTAAGATTTCAATTAAATGTATTTGTGATATTGTAATATAGCAACAAAATTTCAGAGGTACACCTTTAGCTAGAATACAATGTATTGTTAATGAAGAGTATATATACATAATATAACAATTAATAAGAGAGTCATTTTATAAGTTTATTTACTTCGATACAAATTTGACATTCACACATATACGTGTTTAAAAAATGACGTTAATGTTCACTTGTTCAAATGTAATTAAAAAAGGATATTTCTTGCACATGATACACACAAGAAGTATTTTACTCTTTTTTTCATATTTCTTATATGTTATATTATTAAATTTGTATGTAATTTTTGGCTTTAAGAATTATAACACGCATACACAGGAGCAAAATAGGTAAGAAATATATAATGTATTTATGCACCATATATCTTAAAGTTAGCCAAAGTCTTCGTTTTAATTCCAAGTCAGCTTATGAGATCTGAATTTCTAAGTTCAAAATTTCTCCCATTAAAATACTTAAATTTCATTTTGATACTTAAAAGATAACCATGATGATGATAATGATAATGATAATGATAATAATATACTAATAATGAATAATAATAATACTAATTATAATAATTATATTAAGAGTAATTATAATAAAAAGTAAATACTATAAAGTGCTTTACATATTCTTAACTCAGATTTCTGTGCAATTCTTTTTTTGCAAACATAATTATCACAAATTATAATTTCATATAACTTCCTTGGAACTTGAGCAGTTTTTGTTCAGTTTTTAAAAATAATATGTTACCACTTTACTATTTTAATTTGCAGATTATGATATAAAAAGCAAACTTAAAAGTTTTAATTTTGTCGCCAGTTTTTTAAAAATTTTCAAAGAATAATTCTGATACATTGAATTTATTTTTTTACATTTAATTTTCTTCCTCCTCTTCTTCCTCTTCTTCCTGCTCATCTTCTTCTTCACCAGTACTTTCTGGTTTTTCTTCTTTCTTTTTAGGTCTACCACGGCCCCGTCCTGAAGCATTTCCTTTAGTTGAACCTTGCTGAAATTAACATATATTTTCTAATTTCTTGTACATTAAAAATAAATAAATGAAAAAAACAATATACAGCAACAATTTTACAAATACCTAGTCTCCCTTCCAATACTCTTTTTTCATAATAAGATAAAAATTAATAGTTTTTATTTTATAAATTAAAACATACCTTCTTTTTATGAGATCCTTTTGGTCGTCCTCTCCCTTTTTTAACAGGTACAGGCGATGCATCATCTTCATTATCAGATTTTGCAGTGCGTACTACATTATTTTTATCAGCAGCAGGTCTGCCTCGCTTTTTGGGTTCTTTAACTGTATTCTTATCTGTTTTTGCTGGTCTACCTCGTTTCTTTTTTTGTTCTTCAACAACAGGTGAATTGTCATCTGACATTTTTAATCCTTTATATCACTGCATAATTAAAAATTCTATACTATAATGTAAATATTAATTTAAAAGTTTTATTTACGCAATAATTTTATGGCTACTAACTTTTAATATAAAATTTAGTAGATTAAGTTCAATGAAAAAAAAAGTAACAAAATGAATTTACATCAAAAATATTCATATCAGTAATTATTTAAAGAACTGTATTTCTTATAAATAAACACGTAGATATTTTCTACAAAATTTAATCTCACATTACTACACATTAATAAACATTGCATTGCATTGAAAATATAAAATACTTATATAGAGAAAAACACAAAATTTTATATGACTATCGATTTTCGAACTTCCTTATAAAATTTATTTAATTTAAATTTAATATATATATATATATTCCACTATAAATTGTATCAAAAAAAAAAAATTAAGGATATTAATTGTGTTTTATTGTACTTTAGTATAAATTATGCGCCTAATACGTCCATATCGAGTATCATAAAGCGGCAGTTTTGTAACCGGTTAATTGCGGTCAAATAAAACAATTATGCAAAATTAATCACATATACATAACGTTCTAATAAATATATGTATAAATTAAATATTATTACTCTTTTCGAAATAATGAAATTATAATTAATATTATTGTTAATTTTTTTAAAGAAAAGGCCATTACAACAATAAATGAATACTTTCTGAAATTTCCGCGCCCGCCATTTTCAAAAATATTAAGCGGCCTATATATTATTTGTTTCTCCATATATATAATCCTAAAGAAAAACATATAATAATAGCGAAAGACAAAAATTTGTAATGTTCTTTTATAAGAACAAAATAATAACTCGGAGAACCGCTATTAAAGGCACATACGATAGCATCACTTGGCTGCTAGGGACGCCATGATCGACAAATCATGGCAACACCAGAGTCGTGGTAGCGTCCATCACCGATCTCTTTATAAGAAAATGAATAAATATCTCTGTAAGTAATAATCGGTTCTGCGTGAAAGATTGACGAAAAAATCGTTGAGAAAATTATCTACGAGTTTTTTAATCTTCCACTACAATGAATGCGCATACCATCCGAAGAAGTACAATATTTACTGGAGAAAAAGTCGTTAACAGACACTCACCTCAAATTTCTCGTGTGTATGAAGACAAAGGCAATCGTTCAGTCGGCGCGCGCGTCGTACTGTAAGAAAATCAGACTGTGTTCTTTCCTACGTACACTGTATATAAAAACGTTTAATCTTCTTTTATGTATTACCTGAACACGAACCACCCAATCTTTCTCTTCTTGGCGTACTTTTAATACTATCGCGCGCGTCGACTACACAAAACTATGCTCTATGAGCGAGTCCTAACGCAACAACTCACAATTCACTGCGCGAATAGCGAGACGCGACTGACCTGATCGAGATGATGCACTGTACTCCGATTCGTTCACTCTCCTAAGAAGCCCTCCCCCACTCTGTAGACAACACGCCAACTGATTCCCGCCAAAATATCATAATACTACTTAAAATTATAGTTTCTTAAGAAATGTAATTATTTTAGTTTCTTATTACTCACGTAAAAACAAATATTTTTAATGTTGAAAATTTTCAAAATTTGACTACTCTGTAAAACACAGAGCAATTTGTAGAAATAATGTAGTGTTTATAAAAAATAAAAAATCAGTTATTTGGCGGGAATATTGTTTTAGTATATAATATTGAAAATATTAATTTTACAATATTGATTTAAATTAGTATTAATTTATGTAATTTAATTATAATTATAAAATAATTTTATTCAAGCTTTAAATGCTTGGACTTTAAAAGTATTAGTATTGCCATTCTAAAATGGCAAAGGTATAGTGATTATAAAACTACAAAAAAAATTGATGTCTGTAATTTACAACTATTTTATCAATATATAAAAAATGTGTAAATATATCTTTAAAAAATAAATTTCATTTTTTAGTTATTTTTATCTTGAAATAATTGAAATTTCAGTTATTACAATTAATGATTAAGGCTACATTTTATGTTGCCAGAAAAAATTAACTAAAAGTACTGATATTCAACACAATATGGAAATAAAAATTTATAAGTTACTATAACATTTTTTAAATTAATTAATGTTAGTCTTTTGCAGTTATATTTTATGTTATCATAAAAATGGATTAAAGACGACTTCATTTAACAAAACGTTGTTGAAAAAATTTTATATATTGTTTTAATTGCTATGTACAGTATGAAATTTGATTTGTATGTATACATCACAAAATTTTGTACACATGTGGTTTCTGAATTTATATAGCATGTAGCATATTCTAACTTATTTATAAATCTTCATTTAAGAAGTCTTTAATTACACTTGCATGTATTTTCATAAATTTCTAAATAAGATCTATTACAACACACACACATTTTTCCATTCTTTAACAATGTTTTCATACAGACCATATTATTATACACTTTATTTTTTTGCAAACGAAATTTTCATTGCATGAGAAGGTGTAATTTTAAATCCTTGAAGAGCATCTTTTGCAGCTCCTGATTGAACTTCATTCTCAAATTCAACAAATGCAATATCATGTCTGTTTGGTACTAAACGTACTTCTTTGAAGCCAGGAAACTGATTGAAAAGCATAGATAACATCATTTCACTGGTCTCATCTGGTAAATTTGTAAGGAATAAAATTTGATTTGGTGGCTGTTCTGGTACAGCTGTATTAACTAAACCAGCATGTACCACAACAATTTGTTGAGAATGCTTAGCTTGTTCTTTGGCACGTTTCTTGGCACGTTTAGCTTCTTCATCAGCTGCAGGAACAACTCGTTTTGGTTTCTTAGGTCGTTCTGCATATGTTCCTTTCATTTTTGCAATTATATCACTGTCTGTTTTTGCATATTGTATCCTCTAAGATAGAATTAATTAGAATAATTATTATTTTTATTATTTCATCAATAAAAATGTTATAATTTTTACATGTTAATACTGACCATTGGTTTATCATAAAATGGAAAACCTTGCATTGACCTTAAAGCATTTGTAGCACTAGCTATTTCTTTAAAAATAACAAATGCTTGTCCACGCATTTTCAATGTTTTTAGTGCTACAATATCTAATATTTGACCGAACTGGGAAAAAATTGCATATAAAGATTTCTTTAGTTCCTCTTTCTTTATTTTTTCATTTAAATTATTAATATAAATTGTATTATTTGGCCTAATGTCCATTGCCACTGCAAAAAAAGTTTTTCGATATAAATTATTTTTACCTGATAAATATTAACAAATTGAAATAAATGTAATTATATAAATGTAGCACATTGTACAATAAATACAATAATAACATTAAACTAACTTACTTAAATAATCTTCGAAAACAAATATGATATAACTGTTATAATATATTTAATACTTTTTATATACTAAACAATTGTATTTAGTCGGCGTCACTTACTCATAAAGGTTAGAGTACAATGAAGTATAACAATGAGTGTATACATGTAGAGTGGAAACTTAATATTAAAAATATTCTATATTAAATTCAAGTTAAGTCAGGATTTAAAATTTTTAATTACTTATTACGAAGATATTTTATATATTTATATATTTATAATTATTACATAAATATTGTTTTACTGGAAGTATTATATTTATACTTTCATTACAACAAATATAATATATAAATTAGCTATAGTACATTTAAAATAATTTAATGTTCGTAGAAACGCATATTATTTTTGAAAAAGGGAAAATAAACAAATTTATATTAATATTAAATTCAAATGTGTTTAGTAAAATTCATCATGCTTAATTGTTTATAATTATAATATGTAATATGTTTTTCATAATATTATTAGATTATTTATATAAAAATTAATCACGTAAAAAGAAAAACCTAGTATCAAGTAAATATGCATTATTTTTAGGAATATGAATGTTAAGTCATTTAAAAATAGTCAGAGAGTAAATAAATCCTCTTGTTCTCCATTTTATATTTCTCGGAATAATAATAACACAGATAATACAAATAAATGTGAAACAACGTGAAACAATAAGTAAATATAAAATATTATCACATTTTCAAAGTTTGAAATTAATAGTAAATACTATTATTAATTCTTTTTATTTTATTATAAAATAGAAAGTTATCTATAACGAAAAGGCAGCTTTTCCAACAAATTTCTACTCCCAAGAAATTATGTTTAAATGGAGAAACAATAGAAAAATTGATACTGAAATAAAAAAGAAATTATATGAAACTGATTTAAAATCATTGAACAATAGAGTACAACAAAGGGAAGAATCAGTTAAAATTTTGAAAACTACATTATGGTGTAGAATAAAAAGCTAAAAAAAATATTTATTCTAAATCATATTATAAATATCAATTATTTATATGAATTATATGTGATTAAAGAATAAAATAGAAAACTTAGAGAGTGCTATTAAGAAATGGATAGAATGTTGCCAAAATGTCCTTATAGATTATCAAAAGAATTTAGAAGAAAAGAATAATGCAAATGTCTGAAATTTTATTTTCACTTAATATTAATCCTGACATAGTTTATTTTTCTATTGATAGTGTTTATTAATTTATAATTATATCTTATAATGATCTCTCTCTCTTTCTCTATTTTTCTCTCTCACACACACACACACACACACGCGCGCGCGCGCGCGCCTAAAATAAAAGAATAATTAACATAAAATGACTATAAATTTTATTTAAAACTTGTGTGGTTTAAATGGAAAGTTAGGATTAAATAACATTGGATCATTAACAAATTTAGGATCCTTAGTCATAAAACCCATTAAACCTGAAACAAAAATATAATAAAATATAATAATATATTCTGGAATATAAATAAAGGATATAGATAAATGATATTAAGAAGAACAAAATTGATGTCTGTATTGCTTACCAGCCTGTTGTGCTTTTCTCATCTCTTGCTCCACTCTTTTCTGTTTATATTCGCACAATCCAGTTATATGTTTTTCATAAATTCTACCTGTAAAACGACTTTGAAATTGAGATAGTAAACGTATATTTTTATAATCTGGTTCAATGTTTAGTTTACATAAAATGCATAACTTTCGTTTCTCCTTATACGGATTTTCGATTGCAACTGGCTACAAAGAAAATAAAAAAAAATGTTTACTATTTTACTAGACAATTTTCATTGAATAGAATACACATTTATGATGACATTACCATATTTAAATCTACTGTATGTATTGATATATCTGGAATATGTGCTTTGTTAGTGCTACTACGAAAAAAAAGTGTTGGAATTCTACCTCTCGCATACTTTGAAATATGTATATTTGTAAGAGCAAAAATCATTTTTGGTTAAAGTAAACGTGCTTATGAGAATTAAATGTAAAACGTAATAGTCATTGAAAATATATTTAAAATAGAATCGACGCCTCTGAAAACATCAAAGAGTAACATATTTTAGTGAAGTTTAGGTTAGTTCGCATAACGCTTGATAGAGATCGCCATAGTGTATTTAAACTTGATTTCTTATCTATAGAGTAATAATCAATGGACTATATTACTAAACGGATTCCGTTATTAAAGTCTCTGCCACTCTTTTCCTGTCAGGCGGAGGCGAGGGTCGTAATTTTGAAGGTTTTATAGCCAGTAGTTTAGACTAATATAATTGTTATATAAAAATCTTCAATTAGTGGTGTATGCAGGTAAAGTGGTAAAGACAAGATGTGGCCCTCAATATTGGACGTAGCCAAAATGAATCCATTTGGAACACCGATCATGACAGCTAAATGTCAGGGGCAGACCGAACTCACCCAAGCTCTTATTAAAAATCGTCACATTGCCGCTGCTTCAGTTGCATCGGGTGGTTAGTAATTTACAAATAATGTTTATGTAATTTAAGTAATTTAACTAACATTAAATTATAATTTTCTATCGAAGAACTATTTTATTGATGCTATATGTAGGTAATTGATATTCATTCACTAAAAATTAATTTCTTATTGCATTCAGATTTATTCATTATATTTTAGAGAAATTTAAAACTAATAAATATTATTATGTGATATAAAATATTATTGTTAGATATTAATTAATTATGAAAAAGATAATGTTTAAGATAAAATGATACATTTAGATTATATATCTTTTAATAAACCTAAAAATGAATAAAGTTTACGTTTTGCAATCAACAATTAATTCATTGTACATCTTGCAAAATTTTTTAATTTAGTTATGACAGATTATATAACGAATATAGATCGGCCGCATGGCGTATTATATTCCTATATGTTTATGTAAATTTATTCTTTTTTTTATAGTTTACTTTTCTTTTATATATCTTATACTAAATTGCATTTCTAGAAACTACAGATACAATTTTGTATAAAATATTTCTTTAATATGACAGTAAAAAATATTTTATATTTGATTGTTATACACAATGTGAATAGTTGCATAAGAAGTAGCCATTTTGTCGAATATTGCGCGTACGGGTGTCCTCAAAGCCTTGGTTGACATTCGAATAAAAATAATAGTTCACGTTAGTACGGTGACCGTGACCGAGAAATAATTAAAGATATCTTACTGTACTTGAAAAGTTTATTATTGGATTAGACCAAGGTAGTACGATCGTTCATACTAATTTTGAAATTTTGCCAATTTCAAATTTCGTACGCATTTTCTAATCAATGATAGTTTTCATCGTCGATTAAATAGTAATTATTGTAATATAATAACTATAATATATATTGATTAATCAATTAAATTAAGTTTTAGAAAGTTAGTTTTAAGAATTATACTTATAATAGACGGAAATGTTTTTATAAATACATTGCTTGATAATTATTGATTGTTCTCATTCACTTTATTAAATATAGATTGTGTAGATGTGTTTAAAAGATTCAATATTAATTTAATATGTTTAAATGATAATATCTTTCTTTATATTTAGATAGCTGTGAATTTGGATCAAATAAATATTTTATGCTGTGTGGTTTGGGTGGTATTTTATCATGTGGTATCACCCATACCATGGTCACTCCCTTGGATTTAGTGAAATGTCGTATTCAAGTAGACCCTGCAAAGTACAAATCAGTTTTCAATGGGTTCCGAGTAAGAAACAAATTATTTTTGATAATATTTGCTTATATATTTGTTTATATATAACTACAATTTTAAATATTTTGTTGTTTAGGTAACTTTGGCTGAAGATGGAACTCGAGGTTTAGTTAAAGGATGGGCTCCAACATTCTTTGGTTACTCCATTCAAGGAATGTTCAAATTTGGACTTTACGAAGTCTTTAAAGTATATTACTCAGCTCTTGCTGGAGAAGAAATTTCATATGAATATAGGACATCTTTATATTTAGTCTCTTCAGCATCTGCAGAATTTTTTGCTGACATTGGTCTAGCTCCTCTTGAAGCTTCTAAAGTAATTATCAGCCAGTTTTGTACTCATGATAATTTTTTTAATATTTAATTTAAAAAAGAGAACAGTCAGATCAATACTGTCTCTTTCGTGTTTTAAACAAATTATCAGATATTGCATTTGTATTATCTATGCATTTTTGTGATTAGTTCTACATTCAAAACAAAATAGAATTGTTCTTTTGTTCCTCCATATTATTCCAACCAATCCACATTTTTACTTCATCATGTCCAATATCATGTATATTGTAAGTTTCTTCAGTTACTATGAAATTGGAGAAATCATAATGCATAAAGTGTATTTGCCATTTTCACAGGTCAAGATTCAAACTACACCAGGGTTTGCAAATACTTTGAGAGAAGCTTTCCCAAAAATATATGGAGAAGAAGGTCTTAGTGGTTTTTATAAAGGACTGGTACCTTTGTGGCTTCGTCAGATTCCATATACAATGATGAAGTTTGCTTGCTTTGAGCGTACGCTTGAACTCTTGTACAAGTATGTAGTTCCTAAACCAAGGCAAGAATGTACAAAGGGTGAACAATTAGTTGTTACTTTTGCTGCGGGATATATCGCTGGTGTATTTTGTGCAATTGTATCCCATCCTGCTGATTCTGTAAGTATATATCTTTATGTATGCATTTTTATTTTTATTTATAATTTATTTAATTTAATTATTTAAATATATATTTTTTTA